GAGGAATACTACGAGTAATGAGCTAATACTTAAAGTAATTAAGCTGATTGATACTGATCTAATGTGAAGTTGGAGGTAGCTATCAGAAAACTTATGAATACTGCTACAAAGTAGCCAGGTAACAACTAACTCACGACTTAGCTGACAGAACCTCGAGAGTATCCTCCAACACGTCCTCACGCTACGAACGCTCGACCAAGACTGATGACGAGGTGACGTGTCTCTGAGACATTGCAAAGGGCTAAACATGGGTTTCCCTTTTTTCAACACTGCATCATCGCAACATTTTTTTAAATATCCATGGAACATTATTTAAGAATATAAACGCCAGGCGATTGCGCGAAAATATATTTCCTTACAACTTCAGTGTTCCTTCCCAACGTCTGAATAAAAACAGATTGAATCTTGTCAGTCTACTCGAAACCTCGTCATAAGTATAGTAGACTGACCTTCACAAATACAGGTTTCCCATCCTTCTCCACTGTGGTACTGATTGTGTGAAGAATCGGTTGCTTGAAAATGATAGGATGGTTCAGCTGCATTTCCTTGTTGAACTGGTCTGGAAGTTCGCAAGCTTTCAGGTGGATCTTCACGAATACGTCCATGTCCCATTTTTCATTGAAGAATTTGGGCTTGAAAGCTTTCATGACGTAGTCTTTTCTCGAACCTGCAAAGAACACGCTTATTTTTAACTTCCTCCCTAAGAAAGGGTGATATGCGTGGCAGCATTCAAGTTCGTATACCGCGTAGAGTTAATGCATGTTGCAAGGTTTAACATTAGCTAAATAATTGGCTCAACATCGTCATGGTTACTATGAAGGTATGCGGTTCATTCGACAAATGTGTTGAATTAATTTAAATAACTCACCATCCTCCATAGTAGCATCAACTTTAAATACTTCACGAGTAGCTCCTGATGAGAATGGGGTTGGATTGATTGTAATAGATTTAACTTTCCCACTGCTGGATGCTTCCTTCGCCATAATTTTAAGCAGGGCGCAGCGATAACATGCATCGTATGTAGTTTTGCATGGAGGGCAGTACACCCGATCCCCCACAAAGCTTTCTTCACATTCACTGCACGCATAGCTGACATAAGCCAGCGTGTGCGAGTGCTTGGGCTTGTAGTCAACTGCCTCGATGCAGGAAGTGCAATGATCGAAGTCGCATTTGCTGCAGCAGCGCCACCTTTGGTCATTGGATGAGAAATTCTTCTTGCAACGATCACATTTCCATTTCGGGTTGAAAGGCAAGAAATCAATGGATATCACTGCATGCCCATTTGGGCATGACATCCTGTTCCCCATGACTTGGGATTTGTTGAAAAATCCAAGTCAAAAGGTTTTTTAAATGAAGGGTCTATGGAACCCTGGGTGAAGTCGACACCATCACAAAACACAGCTTGGCTATCAACCTGTTCCTACGGAGAACCAACAAGCAATGCAAGATAACATTTTCGAGAGACCCTGAAGATAAGCAAGAAAGCTGCATTCACTTCTTTTTATCTTGCTAAAGGACCTCATAGTGATAAGGGAGTTTAGATGAAAACATATAATTGTATTTTATTGCAACCTTGAAGTTGCGATATGGAAAGTGGGGGTGGGGGGGGGGGGGGAAGAAAAAAAAAGGAAGCAATTAGTTATGCACGAATGCCAATGAATTCAGAAATTATGCACTGATTTTGCCGCAATTTTTGAATTGGCTACCAGGCAGTTTCGGACAGAAACGTATTCAGAAGCGTGAGCTTTTCTTAAAATTTGAATCACGGATAACAGCTTTCTAAATCGTTTGCTTAATAAAATGCCTGAACAATTTGGAGGCATTTTAACGTGAATGCGCGCTTAACAGTGGTCACTTGGAAGAAAAAAATGTATCGAAGCTTTCTCCTTTTACCCAGAGAAGTACATTGTATTTCTGTCTTAGTCCGATCCTTTTTTTAAATGGAACTGCGGGATTTTTAAATGGAAGGAAAAGGCAAACTTCAGGAATCAGAAGCACCAACAGAAGGAAAACACTTCATCTCTTGCCTGTGGCAGATACTCGAACCGAAGCAATCGTTGAACGAAAGGTATCAGGATAATTCAATTGAAATCAAATGTGTAATAAGTTCCATCAGCGTTTCCGATATAACCTGGCAATATGATTTTTGTTCTCAAAAGAATCCACAATGTTTACATCTTGAATGATGTCCCTGGGTGAAATGCAACGTAGGGTGCACATTTGAGTTGGACTGCTGAACATTGATTTTTGGTTTCCCTTCAACCCAAAAGCTTTTCAAGTGCGGCAGAGGCAGGTCGATTGACCCATGAATGACAAGATCTTCGGACGCGAGGCATTGGTTTTCCGCTTCTGCAAGGACAAACAGAATCGCTCCCTTAAAACCAATTCATCCTGGACTTGATTAAAGCCTGGACAAAATCTGAAAGGTCATGGAAAGGTGAAATGCCTTATGATTATGAATTGCAATACTATATACTATAAAACTAAAGTCTCATGTTTTGAGAATATGTTCTGACAGTACAGGAATACCTCTTTGACTCACTCATACCACTGACAATGGTTAGGTGATTCGGTGAATTGCGTAATATATATGTAGAATATGAAGGCATTGTGCGGCTTTAAACTAAGAATTCATGTGCGCGTGGTAGAAAAACATACCCTAGACGGCATATGAAGCATGCTTTATGACGTTTTTAAGACAGTAAGCAACCATTTCTACGCCTTTACATGCATGCCTTACTTCGTTATAAATCGTTCAATCCGATTTTCCTAAAGCTTAAGCACAATTTTCAGATGTTGCTGAGTGATTTTATGAATCGCATTATGTGATCGTAACCAAAAGTTAATCCTAAGAATGTTTTCACGATGAACAAGGAGGAACCTTTTATGGAGCCTTTATGGAGCCTTTTTTATGGAGCCTTTAGCAAGGCTCCATAAAAAAATTGTCCGTTGAGGAACAGATAAGTTAAGGCCAAGGAATTATTTATATTTGGCACATGCCTTTAATGAAGTTTTTCTAGCCAAGTGGTTTGAACTTTGAATAAAATAAAATAACCCATAAAAAATACAATGTGTTCCACATCGTAGGCGGCCTTAGTGTGAACAGATCGCGGCTACCTCCATCCCTGTGGCAAGGATTTTCTGGGAGGCAACCTCAAGGTCATTCCTTGAAGGTTCTTCCAGTGGATCCTTATTCCGAGGTTTCTTTTCGTAAACTTGCCCTTTCAATTTCTCTAAGAGGATGCAAACTGGTGCCGTCGAGGAGGGGGATTTTGATGCCCTCGTGATTTCGACCAATGAGATAATGGGTCGGGAAAAAATATTATAAAACGACGTCATTGTGTTTTGGATTAGATAACGCATTCCGTATCGTGAAGAACGGTAGTACGTTTGGTACATTCCGGAAAATATTGGAAACAGGTTTTCCTCATCTGGACGAGAATTTTTTTCCTTGTTAGGATCGGATTTCAATATGAGAGCCTTATCTGCCGTATTCTAAGAGGAAGGTGTACTTGATTCCCCTAGCAACGCAAATTTTCCTTGATAAGGCATGAGTTATTCCCAGAGCTTGTGGGAAAATGAAGCCTGGCTCGTTCATAGCCAGAAATTTCTGCGACATAGAGTCGCGAAACTTTCGAAAAAATATTTTACAGAGTAGGTTATTGGCATCATTACATATTACACAGCAAAGCAGAAACGTACAGTCAGGTACACATTTTGTAAGTTATGAGGTACAAACGTATGTCGTAAAATACGTTCGTTGAAAAGGTACAGAAGGTACGCATGTGTACCTTTCTCATCTCTATTCACATCGGGCTTAAGGGGGTTCAAAAACCGATTCATGAACCTCAATTGTCGGCTTCGTAGGGAGCTTTAATGGCCCGTCATCCGGCACCACGTCTACGACAGGCAGCGACCTCTCACTGATAACACGCTGACAACGTCACCATTTCGCAAAGGGCATCCCGGCTGTCTCATGAACAGAGTATTTTCTTGTTATCGCGGGGACAGTAGATAACTAGACCACCCTGTTATAAAAGGACAATCTTTCAAGTTTATTGAAAGTTGGCCGCCCATTTCTCGGTGAGAAAAAACTCATAACCTGTTGGTTCACACTTCTCTATTCCCGTACAAAACCCCAGCATTTAAAATTTTCCAGAATTATTGATTGCCATTGTAACATGATATTTATACTTTTACTAAATACTCTTTTACAAGTATTACGATAAGATGAATACAGGGAAAGAAAGAAAACTCTTCTCCTAAGGTCTGGTGAGTCCTGACTCGACTTCGAAAGTTTGAGGGAACATAAACGCCATCTTATGCCTACTTTGAGTACTGCACTGAGAACCCGGACATCTGCGTCAGCAACGTACACACGTGTACGTCTGGACCACACATGCAGACCCGAGGGACACAATATGCACCTCTCACATTTGTACCTCTCCCTGTACGTTTCTACTTTCCTGTGTAAGGGGAGAAAATCTCCCGAGGCCGTTGAAATGTGTGATCACAGATCACGCATCCAAAATGGCCACTTCGTAGTTGAGTCTGACCATGGAGCTGAGTCCGATTAATACAAACTTCGCCCTAGCCTTGGAACAAAATTCCCTTTTATTCAAGCAAAATGCCATCTTTCACTCTGGATGATGCTAGATCTCCAACTGTGGAGCTGCAGCAAACGGAATTCAAGCTCAATGCAATTTGTTCCATCATGCGTGGAGCTATGGATTCATTTACAATGCTCAAGCGCCCCTTGCACATGCAAAGACTTTGGAAAGACGTCATCAACTTGTATTCCGGTGAATGAACAAGAAAACACGTTAAATATTGCCTTTTAAACGTTTACACTTCGTGAGTGTCATTCACCTCTTTGAGATTCCGTTCTCATTAATTAAATTGTGAAATATCTTCGCACGGATGAAAGGTTCCTTCGCAGTTGCCCCACCGCCGTCACAGCCTTCACTGCGAGAACAGGCTTGAGCATGCACAAGATTCGGTACTCTGCGTAAAGACATTCAGGCGGCCTTTAAAGAGATACATATTTGCTTTTACCGAGCTGATGGTATTCAGCGTGGGCCATAAATATGCATGCCACATCTAGCTTTCCTATTTATGCAAGCCTATAATCAACAAATAAATATATATTTCATGCGTCTATGTGAGTGTCACTTTGGTGGTCAACCTGGGCTGTTTTATCAAGAATCATTATCAGCCTAAAAATGGCTTGACGTTCAAAAAAGTGGTCTGCCGGATCAGAAGACAGAAACAAGCAAACCATACGAATGATTCTATTACTACTCTAATCGTAACAAAACGGATTAATGCATGCGAAGTCTGCTGGAAGCAAGTGCCCAAAAACGAAATCCAGCGACCTGAACCAATTAAGGTTCGTGGCGAAATCGGACTAGAACCATGTCCGTCCAGGGCGATCGACCGGCAGAAACAAATGTTCCAGGTTGCCGTCAAGAAGTACAGAAACACATCGGAACAATTTTGTGAATAGTTACTGTGAGCCCTTGTGTCATGTTAAGATTCAATTGATTCCATCATAATTAATTAGAACAGGAAATATAAGAAGTCGATTTGGCGTGAATTTTTACGGTCGATCCTGTATAGATGGGGCCGCTGTGAGTAGCATATTCCTACTGGTAGGAATATGATAACGCTAGATGCTAACGCTAGATGCCGCCTGTGCAATAAACATGCTAATTTAATGGGTATGGTAGAATGCTGATTTCAGTCAGGTTGCGTGCCATGGCGTAAACAGAGAGCAACTGTGTTTTGCGCGAATCGGAAGCCAGGCCCACATGCTGGTTATTGTTCCTGGAGATTACTGCAGTATCGAAAATTGTGAGGAAAGTACAGACGACATTATTGAACTGTTTCGTAGCTCGAAGTTCGGCCTTAGCTTACGTGGCCAATTTATTAGCAAAGTTCCAACGTGCACAATGTTTCCCTCGTGCAGCTCGGTAGTCATTGACGAAAAATTAAGCATAACGAATTAGGAAATGTAGAGATTCCTGTGTAAATTCCCCAGATTAAGCCAACACTTGTTGGCTGTCAGGGGTATTCAGGACTCCAGGGCAAAAGGGTGACAAAGCCTTCAATTAATTGCACTCTATAGACATTCCGTATACGATATCTGAGCATCTTCGAAAGATGCAGAAAGTAAACAGATGCGTCATTTTCTTTCTTTCATGTGTACCGAATGCGATAGAGGGGTCAAAAGTTTCAAGTTGAGTTGCTTTCTGTCCTCGCTATCTCAACCAAGCCGAAAGTGCGCTTTATTTATACAGTGACTTCT